CTCGATGAGCTCATCTTTGCACTGCTTCCTTTAATTAACCACTTCTGAACCGTAATGATACCATTGTTTACTCTTTTTTTTTTTTAAAGAAAATAACAACATTTTACCATCACCTCCTGATGGTTGATCTTGAATGCGTCCTGTCTTTTTTTTTCTGCAGCACATCCATCAGACCTGCAGGCTGCTGCTACTTTTCCATCACAGATGCTCTCTGCTGATTTGTCATGTTGTTGTGACTTTTCCTTCTGCAGCTGGCTTTGAGTTGTGTTTTTATTTGCAGGCAGGATGTTTGGGGGGAAATTGGATGTGTAGTTTATTTTTTGGCCAGATATGTTCTGATCAGTTGATATCTACCTGGTTGATTGACAGGTGGGACTGTTTGAACAGTGATAATGTTGAACAAAACTTTCAGACAGTGGTGTACAACTGACCAGCGTATGAAGTCAAAGCAATTCAAGATGGCCACCACAGCTCYTTTATGTTTGTCAACACAAACATTTCTGCAACTCACAATTACAGATAATGAGGTGGGAGTCATCCTCACAGATYCCCTGATCATTAACACATCTAGTGAGCTGTGGCAGCCATCTTGAATTAAATTTCTGCCATAAAAGGTGGTGGGCGACATGCATTCTTTCAAAGAATTCTAGGCCTTTGTTTTCTTCCATTATGTCTTGTGAAAGGATGTTTTTTTTATTTGCATATATTATTATTTTTTAATCAGTATAATAATACATGAGAAAAGTACTTCAGTGAAATTTGCAAGTTTGAGTTAATCATGTTTAGGGCTGCCACAAATTATTATTTTTATAATCGATTAATCACCGATAATTTTTTTCAATTTGTCGACTAATCAGATCATACTTTGAATATAAAACATAGAGCTTATCGCGCCAGAATGTAGCTGCTATTATATAACCATGGTTAGATTTTAGCTATATGCTAACTAAAAATAATTGCTGTGGAAGGTAAGTTCTGCTCTGCAGATATTGCACAGGTTTCTCTTTCATTTTCTGAAAAAAGTTCCCACACTTTTGAGCTCCGTTGTCAGGTAGCCATGATACCAGAGCCTGTCTGTATAATGTCTTGTGACGTCCACGGCCTACCCCAGT